CATGGTTCATAACACTATAATGTAGGTAAACAAGGTAGGAATAATTAAAATTATTTAGGTCTGTGCACAATGTCATCATGTCCTGCCTTGATCTTATCAATCACATTAATTATAGGCCCTATTCTATCTAGGAGGAGGCCTGGGCCTACAGCAACCAGGCTACCAATAATAGAATAGTGCTTCCGGTCCCGAGCTAGGCTAGGCCTAAGAGGGTCCAGGGGAAACCCGGTCAAGGCCTCGGCCCTAGCTTAGGGTAGGCGTAGGCCAGAGCCCAGGCCCCTCTCCAGCTACTGACTGGGCCTACCCAGCAGGCCCTAGCTAGGCTAAGCCAGACAATAAACAAAAACAACATTCCAACACCACCATCTAAAACAAGGAACGCGTTAACTTACCATTAGATTAGGATGTGGCTGGCAAGAAGCATCACCATTTAGGTCTTTCTCAATTTTGGGTGTCCTTAGTTGTCCCCCTTCTTGTTTTACCCTACTGTTACAATTCGATTTGTTGGTTTTTGCCTTATTCTGCATGTAACGAGTCCGCAGCCTATCCGTGTCTTGCTGCTCCTGTGCATGTCTTTCTGTCAACCTTGATCCGTACGTTACATTGTGAGAATCCGACTGTTGTCGAATTCTTTCAATTCGTTGTTTAAGTCTATTAACAACGTTCTGTCTGTTAGGGGATGGCATCATACAATCCCCCATGTTGTTTCTGAAATCCAGTGGTGTTGTTGTTAATCAACACACTCAAAAACATAGATAAAGCATTCAAACACACTCATTTCTTCGCACAGTGTTTTTAGTAATAAACTAACGTACGTACTTGAACCTCCAATCTTTCGGTCAAATCTGTCCGACATTAATGCATTATTATTATTCATGAGCTGGGACCGGGAACCGAGCAACCGAGCAACGCATACTTTATTCACAGCAACTTCGAAAATCGGGACACCTCCGCGGAAAAAAGAACTTCAGAAAACATTCAGCAGTTTTGATACCAAATGATTTCTATCAAAATTATAAGACAATTGAATTTTTCTAGTATGTATGCTACATTAGTTTTAATCGGCATATTCTGCGAAGCAAGGTACCGCTTTAATTAATTAGCAAAATCTGATAAGTTTTACGGAAGTGAGAAAATACTCATTCTCCGCTCTGAGGCTGTGGACCGTACCACTTTTAAATGGGGTTTCCAAATAACAGGTCACATTATCGCTAGAATGCTATGACGTCACATATAACCCTTGGCCGAATTTAGCATGGTGGATACGCGTCAACTGCTTTGTATGACGTCGAAGCCTGTGTACTATCGCTATGGCTGCTATATTATGGGCCCCTGTAAGATAATTCATTCTCAGTTTCTTAGATCCAAGTAAAGTACAGTCATATTTTTTAAAACTCTTCTCAACTCTGGCAATGTGCGTTCAATTCCACCAATAAAATGAAATGGAAATACATAGAAAACAATGAATAAATAAATAATATACATAATTGCACGTTCGATACCACTACTCTTTATTTTTTCAAACTAAAATAAGGAACTTTCGTTGATAAACTAACGGTTCGAGCATGGAGGGTTCGAGGTTCCACCTGTGGTTGAGTATGCCCCTTGATGTGGAAAATGTCGAAATATTGATTATCTCCAATACATGTTACATTTCATTATATACACCCCCCACCACACACACACACACACACACACACAC